TACATGGTTATCGCACGAAACACGAAACTCGAACATCATCAGCGTATTCAAGAGTTATATCGACGTGGCAGATATCACGTGATACTCCGGCAACCCTTAATTGTACATACGTGTTATTCTCTCTGATTAGATTTTTTTTTTTCTTATCAAAGTATATATATGTTTGCTCTCTTGTTTGAATTTTTCTATTCATAACTAAATAATCAATTCTCAATAAAGATGTAAATTGAGTTGAATACACTCAATTCTATCTAAACTGAGAAAATACTACACATTCCTTTCAAGTGTAACCTTATTTCTTTATTTTAAGTTGAAGTCTTTATAAATATATTTATAATACTTTTCTTTTTAAATTTATTGTTAGTAAGTAAATGTTTTTTAATATAAAGATAATATATTTCTCTTTTTAAATATATAAAACTATAAAAACAAAAAATTTCGCGAATAATTCACAGCTATTTCAAATTTTAAAGATTAATTCTAACTTCTTCATTAAATTTTCTTTTTATCGATTAACTTTCAGAAAATTCTTGTTGCTTTATATTATATATAATTATGATTATCATATCAAATAATCCATATGCACATGTAAAACATCACGTTTCTAATAATCTGACAAGATCCTAAAATCACGTATCTGTCCATCTATGCTTGGCGCTCGTGCGCCACTTTTGTGACGGTTGCCAGAGAAAAAGACTTGTGAAAGAGAGAGAAAGAGAGAAAGATAATGAGAGAGGAGGAATGTCACCTGGAAAAGCGCGGGAGTACTTTCACCCCAGAGATCCACGCCCAAACTCTCCCCTAGGCAGAGACGTCGCGCTCAATACGACGACGCGGAGAGGAATCCTCCTTCCTCCTCGTCGCGTCTCTCCCCCTCCCTCCCACGCTCTCCTTTATCGACGTCGCGTCGCCTATCTCAATGGGGGAGAGAGAAGAGACGATCGATTCGCGTCGACGTACTATGTACTATGGCCTGCTTACGCGAGAGGAGAGCACTGACCCCCAAGGTCGTTCTTACGCGGCTGAACGTGCTGCCGCGAATTGACGTTTCCCTCCCTCTCTCCTCGCCGGTTTCGCGTGGAGTACTCGCTCCGTCGCGTCGGTTCCCTCCCTCCCCAACCCACCATCGAGGCCGCGCTGCATCGGCGACAAGACGCCGCCGACCACTTTTGCGGCCTCTTCATTCGACAATAGCGTGTGTGACATTCACGAGATACCAAGATTATTCGTAAAACCTCGAAATACGCGTGTCGGAGGATGTCGGAGGATGTCGGTGAGGAGAGACAGGGATCTCTGATCGAACACGAAATGGAGAGACTTCAAGCGAAGTCAGATGGATTCCTCATCGCTTTCGTGACATCGTCGCGTAGCTCTCTTGATGAAATGTGATGGTAATTTTTTATGTAACATCATACTGCTATATATGTGCTGTTTATACATATACAAATAAGACGTACGCAATCGACATAAAATGACATGCGTCGTTTGCAACTTGTGGAAGGAATTATCGACTATGATATAGTACTGACATGCTAATTAACCATCGTTCCCGAGACAGCGTACCTTGCTTCAAAGATCGCCGGGAGGAAGCCGGATCAATTTCGCGGCGAGCTTACGTTCGCTCCTGCTCTCAGTTATTCATCACACATCCTCGTAAGACTCAATTAGTACTTTAACGTTTATTGCGAGGCGGAGTCGGGACGCATGCGATTATCGGTTAATGAATTAGCCGCATAACGAGTGACGTTAGATCGCCGTCGTTTCTTATGTCAGTAGAGTGAATGAGTGGCGTTCGCTTTGTATAATCGTGCGTGTGCGCGATATCGCATGTACACGATGCACGCTTATACATACGTTGTAAATTCCGCTACGCTGTAACGATTATTAGCATATATTCTAACATTCAGTTGTGTGCGGACAGCATCGGCTACTTCCGCGTTCCCGACTCGCGTGATTCCTGCTCGCCATGCACACGTGTATGCATACAGATGCACATGCGTTTTTACGCGTATGTGTAATTAAATGTATTGTGGAAAGATGAGTATCGCGAAATGTCGTGAAAAATCTGAGGCGTTTCCTTCTCCCGAGATATTTGCGCATCGACGTCAACGACCGTGGATACCGTTTTGTATTTGATTGTGATTAATACAATTGCAAAAATGGAATATATTAGGTTGTAATCTTTTACGAAGAGAAGATCTGAAAAAGTTCTTAGCGAGAGATATTTAATTTATTAATTCTTAAACATATAATAAAAAATATACTTTGAGAGCTTAAAATATTTAAGGGATTGGATCACCGATATCATAGAGGCGCCGGAACAGAGGCACGTGCGAAAGACAGACACAAAGAGAAAGAGAGAGAGAGAGAGAGAGAGATAGAGAATAATCCAAAGTCTCTCTTACCAATTTAGTTGGTGTGCCGTTATTTTTAGATGTTTCGCGCCTTTTCCACCGCGACGAGCGACGATGTCCTGGCGATGCGCCAACTTCGGCGCAAGATTCATATGCCCGAATGCACCGAACACGTGGAAGCGCACTGACGCGAAATTTCTTTCGTGCACGTGCATAGGTGCCTGATGCGCGCGCGAGCTTGACAGACGTCTTCTCGTTTTCTTCCTCGTTCCTTGGTCTCCTTCCGCTTGTCCCCGTTTGCGAGCTCAGACTGAAATGTTACGGCATCTATGGAGCAGCGCCAGAAAGGGCATGCACGTTGCGAGATGAGAGTTCTAAGTGAGCAATTTTAATTGAGTTCTTCTTCAAATGGTACATTAACGATTTAACGTGGATTCCTATGATACTTACAATCGCTTCTAGTATACGCTTTAACAGCAATAAACTTATTTGCTTCAATTCTCTGTTAAAATAATTTCAAAAATAATTGCTGATAGATATATGTTTTTTAATATGATACATTTAATATAATAAGTAATTTCATAAGAAATTAAAGTAATATTTATAGAAAATTTTGTCGTTTATCTCGATTCTCTTTGTCATTACTTCATGAAACGCGAGGCACACAGAAATACGCGACGTCCTTGAAAGTAGCCTTGCGGTTATAAAAGATGTAAGATCGTGACACATAAAATTACTAATGGTAGAGGGGACTTTTCGATGAATTCATTAACTAGCAAAAATTATAAAATACATGCCAACAAAATTTTTTTTCCTTCATAAATTTTTAATTAAAATGTTATGATGCTCGCGAAATCAACCGAGCCATCCGCTTTTACGAGCTGCTGAAGAAGTAGAACGAAGGAATGCTTGACGCGGCAATCATGACTCGGGAAACAGAAGTGTTGAGATATAATATCCTATATAACAGCCTATTGCGTTTTATTACGTATGAATCACTTTAAAAGACGAATGAAAATTGACTCAATAAAGATAAGATAAACTGCGCGGCGGATGCGAAACGATCGTTGAAATGGAATTATATTACGACAATTGAGAAAATGCGGATGGGTTAGGGCTGGACGGATATCGTGAGAGAGACTGTTCTCTCTACGCATGAGAATGTGACAATGTTGAATCGAATTACGGAAATGAGAGAATTAGCGACTACGTTCGTATGAGAAAAATCTGAACCAACCGGATTTCCACCGATTGTGCCAGGCGCCGCGAATGATATAGTTTGCAGAAACGCCCACGGTTTCGTATGTCATCCTAAAACGCCTCCGTGGCCACATGATCTTCAAAGGATTCGCTGCTATCAAAAGCTCCCACATACTTTTTTTTTTTTTTAATGATCTAATTCATTGCAATTTAAGTATCTGCTTTGATTTTTCATTTAAAAGCAATGCTTGCAATTTTTTTAAGGAAGGGATAATAATACAATAATACAATTTTCTAATATATAATATAATTGATAATAATATACACAATATACTATAAGTGACACAATACAATATAACATAATATAATATAATACAATATCACGCAATAATAGAATATAAACGATAATAATAAAATATATAATTTAAATTTATAATATAATATAATTTATTATATACATAATATAATCTTTTTTATTTCTTATTTTTTAATTCTTGGGATATTTATTTCATTACACAGTTTCTTTGATCATTGTGTTACAATTTATTCATCACAATTATTTGAATGTAGATAGGAATTTTGAGATAAATTTGTGTGTTTTGATATAAATATTATCGCACATCTCCCAACTTACGATTTTGAGTACGAAAAGAAATTGCCTAATTACGTAATGTCAATGATATGTTTTTATATACTTTTTGAAACAATATTTTCTGACCTTAACCCTGAGCGCAAAGATGTTTTGATCGAGGAGAAGTGATTACTTTTGGTTTTCAGGTCTACTTAGTAATATTCTTGTGCATCATAATTCGTGAATACTAACGATATTTTTTTTTGAAACAATATTTTCTGACCTTAACCCTGAGCGCAAAGATGTTTTGATCGAGGAGAAGTGATTACTTTTGGTTTTCAGGTCTACTTAGTAATATTCTTGTGCATCATAATTCGTGAATACTAACGATATTTTTTTTTTTTTTTTTTTTTTTTTTTTTTTTTTTTTTTTTTTTTTTTTTTTTTTTTTTTTTTTTTTTTTTTTTTTTTTTTTTTTTTTTTTTTTTTTTTTTTTTTTTTTTTTTTTTTTTTTTTTTTTTTTTTTTTTTTTTTTTTTTTTTTTTTTTTTTTTTTTTTTTTTTTTTTTTTTTTATATTTTTTTTTTTTTTTTTTTTTTTTTTTTTTTTTTTTTTTTTTTAAGTATAAGTTTTTGCGCGAAGACTCAATATAATGTCAACGAATTTTATATGTAAAAGATATTCATATATTTCTTGATTTTCTGATTAAAGGTAATATTAATCAAAGTTGATGAATTATACTCAAAGCATTCTTATATATACTACATTACACAAAACGTGAATTTATACTATTTGCGTGATATATATCGTTTAATATGATAATCTTTATATTCGTATTAATGATATTTAATAGATGAATCGATCGATTCTGTTGCAGACGAGGAGGAGGAGATCGACGTGGTGTCGTATGAGAAGAAAGCGACATACTTAAACTTTGCGCAGAAGCAACACGATGCAAATCAACTGGCCTTGAACTTCCCGGAGAAACAACACAATGCAAATCAGCTGGCCTTGAACTTCGCAGAGAAGCAACACAATGCAAATAAGCTGGCCACGAACATAGACAAGACAACCGTGCGCCGACCCCGCGGTAGACCACCAGGCCCGAACTCTGCAAAACGAAAGAGAAACGCACAAATCAGCTCCAATGAGGCATCCGGCCCCCCTCCGAAGCAAGCCCGCGTGCAAACCTATCAACGGGGGCAGAAACGGCAAAAATGTGCGAGGCAGTGGCGGACTCAGACCTTTGAGGACGATGACGAGGAGGACAAGAGGAATCTGCATAACAACATGGAGCGACAGCGGCGAATAAGCATGAAGAACTTCTTCGATGTGTTGAAGCAACATGTGCCAGCGATCGCGAATAAAGAGAGAGTTGCCAAGGTGACTATTTTGAGGCAGGCCAAGGCGTATATCAACACGCTAGAAGCTGAGGACATTGTCAGTCTGCCGGAGAGAAAAAAGTTGGAAAGGCAACAGCAGATACTCAGAAAAAAGCTCGAGGAGCTCCAGCGGGCACAAAACAGGATGCTTCGTTTGCAGCGGCGATATTGAAGGAGGAAAATCCGTGAGCAGTCTCGTGGCGGGAACGGCATCGATTTCGCACGACACAAACGATATCGACGTGCGAATCGAATGCGATATAAAATCCGGCCATAACAGTTGTGGAAAGAGACGTAATGCACGCCAAAGACCTTAAAACTGTGTGAGGCTGTGAAACGGAAACACGATATTACTATTTAGGGGAGTGCAAGTGATGACAGAGTGAATGCGCGTATTCTGAGATAAAATTCGAAGAAATAAACGAGAGAGAGATAGGAAAGAG